GATTTACTTAATCACACTAATTATTTCCTGTTTTACCTGAATGAGATAACCTAGAGCACATTCCTGAAATTAAAGGAATTATGACGAGATGATTATGTCAGACAGTGACATAGAAACAAAAATGTTTGTACCTTGAGCTGGAATCGAGCTCGTAACCACAGAGTTTGAAGAGCCAAATGCATTGTGCGTGTCTGATATCTATAACATGAATATTAGAATATCCTATGCTTAAGAAACTTTCTTAAGTATTACGATGTTAAGTACAACCCGGAACTTTCGAGACTTAAATGCAATTTCAGTATTTAACTCGCATTTGCCTAACGAGAGCTGTAACGTTTATTTACAGTGCTAATTTATTCCTGTACTAGAATAGATGAATATTCAAAATTAGTGTAGAATGATTCACTGCAGTCTCGATAATTGTGCTGTGATGCCGGTGGAGAGCATGCAGTGTATGGTGTTTACGTTTTACGAATGACAGACCAAGTTACCGTGGTGTCAAAACAGAACTTCTCTTGTATTTATGTAAACGACGCATGTCTGCAATACCTAGAAAGAAGGTGGAAGACCAAATCAAAATATGTTGTGCTTGAATACGGATCAAAAGACACGTGTTTGCAATAGGTTATGGAAAGGCGTACTTCTTACAAAATTACCTGTATAGACGGACGACGACAGGAATACGAAGCTCATATCTGAATCATAATAATTCCCATCTAATGGAAGCTGTCATGTTTTATTTGAAATGTGTATGGAAGTGTAATTGGAAAGCCTCAAAGGAAGCTACGAGGATAATACTGAAATTGGTGTAAAAGGAATAGGATGTGAGAATGTGGACTGGATTCGGCAAAGCTCCTGTGAAAACTCTTGGGGTTCTAGAAAAAATATGGAAATTTCTTGACTAGGTCAGCAATTTTCAGTTCTAAAGGACTGTACCCAATTTAGTTATAGAACATTTTACGTCGCCGCAATTCTCGTATAACGTAACGTTGCTAAAATATTTACTTAAATTGTTATTTTAAATAAAGTTTGTTGGGCGCTTCGTCTTGTTATGATGACTTACAACAGATGATGATACGACAAGATACTGCTGAGACATCCAGACTAACGGAATAGAATCCACCGAATGGATTCGCAGTAACACTCGGACGCAAGTTTACTCATGCAAAACAAAATACGTACTCCGACCGACATTCTGACAGCCGTAGCAACTTGCTGGCTTCACTACGACACACACCGGTATTTTGTGTAGGCGTACATCGACAAAATGTGCACGGCACTTTCAGGTCCGAAAGTCAACAAGTTTACAAACAGTGTTCCGTTACGATGCGGAAACGAACTGCTATTGTACATTGTAAAATTATAGCACATATTGCTCAGAATCAGAAATATGTTTACTTCCATTACATTAATACCTACTACATCAACAATTTTACAAAACATTAGATCTCAACTGGATCTAAAAATTATTTTAAGATAAGACTGAGATAATCTATGGAGTTCGGTTTGGGCTTCACCTAAGTCGATAAAAACCAAAAATAATTAGCTCTATAATTTACAGTGAAGACACCGATTAGAAATGCCACCAAAATGAGATCAATAATTAGTTCTGGAGATTATATACGATTATTAAAGTGTCCATACACCGAGAGGGCTTCGAACGCACGACTCTGATATTTTGCCTAGCGTAACTTAAACGTGTAAAAACACTGAAATATATTTTATACGTCAGAAAGTAACTGATACTATGGTGTATTACAGTATAGAAATATTGCAGCGTAGTAGCCCAAAGTGTTGTTCTGGATGCAGTGCTACATAATCACCAACAAAATAAGCAGGATATAAAACCGGGTTTTTTTCAGAAAGTTATCAGCTTTCGTGTCCGTAGAAAGCGACTTTTGAAACACACCATGCGTGCAACAGCATTTCTTATCAGGCCCCGTTAAAGGGTGCCTGCATTTCGTTTCTGGATGAAGTATCTCTAAAGTTATTGATGCTTGTAAGAAGAAAAAGAGTTGCCATCTGAGCGACTTGTCTGGAACGTAACAGACATACAATACAATACAATACATAATATTACCGCCACTACGGATCAAGCTGTGGGTAGTTTATTTTCTTACAAAACTTATTTGGACAGACGATCTTTAATTTTGCATATCTACACCTATTCTGGAACCTCACGATTCCTCTGTGTGTTCAAAAAATCCGCTGCAGAACCGCATCATCGGCTACTCCAATCCACTAACACCGTCAAACTGTGTTTTTATAACTTGCTTCGATATTGTCCTCCCGTCTACGCACTTTTCTACCAAGGACTAGCCTGCACTGAGGGTTCGTAACCAAACTTAAATAAAATTGTTTTCTCCCATGCATACTATATGCACCGCCTACTTCATTTAACCAACACTATACTATTTTACAAGTGTTAAGTGCGAAGGTTTCATGGCTTTAACCACTTGAAGTCCCTGAGAACCTGATTGTGTCTCTGGCAGTCAAAACCTGGAGTTCCTTCTGTGGAACCATCAGGTTCATTGCCGCGTTCCTGAGATTTCCACTAGACGTAGGCCCAAGTGTTGAATGCGGTCCTCATCATCCTTTCTTTACTTCAGCGATATTTACCCAACTATGAATACGTCACAAGTGGTTCTTTCCTTCACAGTTTCTTACTAAATTGTTGCAAGCATTAATCATTCTATCCAGTCCTGCTGCAGGCACCGCCAATTTTATTTATACAACAGAACAGGCACGTAATTTCTGTCATTCTTTGGGTCAGTAAAATGTGTGTGTAACTTCGATATTTTGTTTTACGCTCTTAGATAAACTGACGTAAATTAAACAGGTACAAACAGTGACAGATATTCGCGAAATAATGCTATCTGACATAGATTCTGGTTCAATGCCTTTTCGCGATACGTTCTCTTTTCTTCTTTTCGTAAGCGTGCAAGGAAATGTTCATGGAGCTATATTCTGAAGTTCATCGGTTTCTCAGGTGAGCGATCTTTGATTCGATCTACCAAAGTGACGCAGGTTCATTACCAGGAAGAACACGCAAAGTTACAATAAACCTAACATCTGCATGCAGACGATTTCCATGGCAAACATGATTGCTGAGGTAATTGAAAAGTCAATACACTACTTTAAAAATTATAGTTTTTCAGAGCACCCATAAAGTGGAAAACATTCACAGGCCTGCATTTCATGGTAATGGAAAAAGCCCCTATTGGCTGTTCATAATTAATTACAATCCGAGTTTCTTTAAGCGTGGCCAGTTCACGAAGCCGTTAAAAGAAAAACAGGCATAAGCCTCTTCGAAACCCATGCGCGCTTTCATCATATACTTATTCCAAATATTACTCTCGTAAAATAGCACCTAACTTCGCTGTTTTATGTAGTAGAAAGCACGTATACCGGTAACACGCAGACATTCATTGGAAAATACGTACTGAAAGTTCGTTAAAGTCATTACTAAGGATCAACTGGCATACAGAGGATCGTATAAACTCTTTTTCCTGTTTACAGATTATAATACTGTCACAGAAACTATTTCCTGTGAAGTAATTCTCGTACCTTTCCTCTTCTACGAACTGATGTCATGTGAGAACATAGTAACTAACGTTAGAAAACGCTGCCCTGACAGACACAAACAATATAACGACGGTCCACTGCAAATTAGGTGTCCAGGATGAATCTATAGTCTTGTTTCACATTTCTGGATTTAGATGCGTGGTACATAACAGCTGTACCTTCAATAGTTTCAGCCCACTGTTCTCATGCAACAGTGTTGTGAATGCAGAAACGTTTATAAGGCAGTTCTCCCTGCGCTTAATCAATACGCATGCGTCGTATGCTTTACTCCCGAGGAAATTACATTCGGTAGTTTTGGATTTTGGATCGATGAACCCCAACTGATTTTGAAAGAGTGGCGATGAGAAAAATCTCCTGGCACTGCTGGGAATCTAAACCTCGTCCTCTTGTAACTGAGCTGTTGAGGTCACCGATAAATATTATTGTCACAAAACAAGATGTAATAATTTTATTGCACTGGAATGTCAGTCGTACTTAGAATGTTCAGCTTTGCAGAAGAAATGAAAATTGTGAATTACGGAGATCTGAAAATGTATTTACGTGTTTCATTGCAATCCTCTGATTCGGTCATATCGTAACCTAACTAAAATCGCCTCACTTTGCAGCAGATTTCTTTCTCCCTTTGGTTCTGAAGTGGCACATCTCCCGCTTGCCTCTTCCACCGTGCCAATTCTGTTTCGTAGGCGCAAATTAGCAATGCCTGATTTTGAAGAACTGGAATGCCTTAACATCATTTTAACCAAATCTTACGGATTGGGCCTTGTGGAATATTCCAAATCAAAATTAATTCTTACATCATAAATCAGTTCAGATATTTAGCAGGACTCCATCGACGACCGGTCAGTAAGTTGCAAGACCTTTACCTACATAGGGCAGCACAATTCAGAAATACCGAAACAAACAAATATTCATGCCATGAGCGGGATTCGAAACTGCCGTCCCATTCCCCAGGCTTAAAATTCTGCTTCTGCATAAATTACTTCACAACACATGCCTCTGTGGCCTTTCATCTCATTCTTTCCCTGACGAAGGAAACAGCCTTCCCGTCTAACTGTTCCTTCAATTACGACTGTCTGTTCGTACAGTAAGGATGCAGTCTTACATGCTTTAGCCCTTTGAAACCGAAGATCTCATAAATAATATTTAAGAATTTTGTCGATACAGCAAAGAAAACAACGCTTTTCAATTACGAAGATAAATTGGTTGATCCTGTTTAAAGAAAGACTCGCTCTTTACACACAGAATGAAATGAAAACAATAAATACAAGATGAAGAGAAAATGACTGATAAAGCAGTGGTACATATTTTAGCATTAGGCTTTAAAGGGTTACTTAACTTATTATAATATATTAAAGTTTTGTTTTACGAGACGTTGCTGGAAGTAATGTTCTATAGAGAAATAAGAAGAAACTTACCTTTGGCCCATCCTGTTAGCACGTTTCCAAGGTAAGCTACCTTATAGGTAGGGTCATATTCCGTAATAGTAACTGATCTCCGCTTCCATAATTTTCCCAGTGATAATTTAAGGGAGCGAAGGGTGCGTTGTCTGAAATCCTTTCCACATAAACTGGTGGATCCACCATCTTGACACAACGCTAGCGACTGGTGTTGCTGAGTCATTGTGGCACTAACCATAAGCCACGTGCACTTCTGGATTTATTTCACTTCAAGATATTTGTCATGCTGTACGTCGACTGCTGACGGTAAATGTATCGTAGTGGAGATTCGTTTGTCCATTTATTTGTGATGCGATGTAAAATACTTCCCTCCCTTCGCAGAACTCCAGATCATCTTAAGTTGACGAGTGTTAAATGAAATTACATGGGCACTTTCTTCGTTCGACTGAAGAATTAACACAGTGAAGATACTGATGCTCTATGATTATTACACACATCTGTAAGTATCGCACATTAAAAGAACGAATTTGCAGCTTTCAGTATTCTCGCTCCACCAACTTTTACAGCTGAACAATCATACGTAATTGTTTAGATATCCCTTGGAAAGAAACGCATTTTAATTGACACTTACTAAGTTTTTACTGGGTTTTGGTAATTCTTCTAATAACTTTTCCAGATCGCGTTTGAAGGCTGTCGCTGTAGTACTTATGAACCTTGAAACAAATGAACTGGTCCGGCTTTTGACTAGAATAATAAAACCAACTTCTGCGAGTCGGTTGCTTTTCCTCCGTCTTCCTCTGCGCTTAATGGAAAGCTGCAGTCTACAAAGAAGAACAAGTAAAAAAGAAGAACGCAACAGAGGAGTCAACTACTAATAACAAAGAAGGATGTGGTCACTGAGATGGAAGTAAAACGTCACTTCCGTCTCCTATAACTTGCAAGCAGCCAGGCATGTCTTCTCGTGTTTTGGTCTATCCGTCAGATCAGGGGAACACACACTAGACCTCGGCTTCTCAGCCTTCCAAGGGTTTTTTCTTGTCACGGCACGACTTCTTCAGCCTTCTGTTTTAGCCGAACAAGAATTTCCACTGCGGCTGTTCAGTGAACGAAGGAAACAACCCTGCAGCTCACATTCTGTCGCAGTTTCTCTTGAAATCATATGCATTTTGTGGCCACGTTCCATGACTCTTCAAGATGCAGAATTCTGTTTCTAGTTTCTTTTGGTAACCAGAAGGCCTACACAAAGCAGTTGATTTATCGCCTGCCATCCACAGAAACGGATAACAGCTATCAATCGGAATTAACGTGGTTATTCCTCACGCATCTTTCGTAACAACCGAAATCGATCCACTTCAGTGTACGTTCCTGCAGGTCCTTGAGCTGGTGACGTGATTCGCCTGTAAATATAAAGAAAAATGCGTTAACAACTCAAAGATGTGGTCGAGAGTCACGATGTGGCGGATGGCTGTCTTGTTTCGTATTCGGGAGGTACCTGTTCGAATCTCAAACGCAATACCTGTAATTTTAAGGTTTTACAAGAGTTTTACCAGAATCACCAGGTTTGAAACTCTGAAATAAAGCCTTGCAAGCGAGTAAAATTCATTTCAACTCATTTACAACCACCAAGCATTCTCAAATCTGGGCTATGTACCCAGTCAATACCTTCCACAGCTGACACGGTGTCGCGTAGAGGTATGCAACTTATTCGTCTTGGCTTTACGTATTTTCATCCTTGCAAACATCTAATCATTGTTCGCCATGGCCCATATACAGGTTAAGAGGTTCGTCCCGTGCCATGTGCCACACGGGCACATTTCAGTCAGGCATTTTGATCTTCCATGGAAAGGCAACATTTGTGTTCAGTAGCGACACGTAGTGTTTGGGTTAACCTCTTTACGTGACTTTCAGAATATTTCTGCTGAGCACCGACATTGTAGTAAATAAATACTCTCTGTGCGTCAAATTAATTACTTATGTGAAGATTTCTGTCTTCTGGGTTGTTGCGCTGTGTAGTCTGGTCGATGTTTACCAACGTTTCAGGGGTCATACTGCCTCCGTCACCAGGGCGACGAATCGTTGGTAAACATCTACCATACTACACAGCGCATTAACCCAGAAGACAGAAATCTTCATACTCACCGCTGTGAAAACCTCAAATCTTACATAAATTATTTATGTGACTGAACACTGTGGTAGCATAACCTGAAGGTTAAACACCGCTAACATCCAAGCCCATTCCTATCTGAACTAGTTCCGGGCACCTCTCATCTTCACAATCTACTTCCTTGTGACTAAATTTTATTTATTCCTCATGTATCCTTCTTGATATTCTATGCGTACGTTTTTCAAGAACTTTACCTACCTAAATTTTCAATTAATTTCTTATTTCCCAATGTCAGCCATATGTTTAACCCATTATAACCCCACACATTTCAAGAATGGCTGTCTTCTGGTTTGTTGGGCCGTGTAGTCTGGTAGAAGTTTGCCGACGTTTCAGAGAATTCGAATCGCGTTAAATCCTCAGGTGTTAACCAGGACCTTTCTAGGCCTTACGATGGGCTAATGATCCATAAATATGTCTAAACGTTTTATTCGCCCTAAATTAGTTTTAAGTCTGATCGTACAAGAGGATCTAATGAGTAAAAGTAAAATAAGAACGTAACTTTTTTTATAATTTTCGCTTTTTGTTTAAGACAGAAAAAAATATGTAGGCCTAGCTTAATTCGAAGGCAATCTCTATGAACTGGAAACGTTCCAGAACTGGAGGAAGCTGCCATATAAAAGACAGCTTAATTATAAACATAGGCTCATTCAAGATTTTTTGGCCCAGTTCTGTCAGAGTAGAATAGGGGAGAGAAAGGGAGTTACAAATTTGTTCGTACCGTGAAACACCAGCCTCTGTGAAAGTATGAATTTTATTATTTTCTAGTTTAAATGAAACCGTGGATTTAAACGACGCACTTTCGTAAAATGGCTGTCTTAATGTTCATTATAAAGGCAATGCAATATCTCAACTTAATAAACGAACGACTTGATTTAGTTAGAATGCCATCTGATTTTGAAACCGTACAGTACAAGTTATTTTCACAGCAGACAAATGGTGAAAGAGACTTCGTTTCCAGTGACGTTAGTTTCATCTTCTAAATTGAGTCGAACGTAATTATACCTATAAAAACACGAGAGTTTCCCAAACGTTGACACAGCAGGTGTGTAAGTACATTTCAAGAGCACAGTAATTAGATTTAAACCTGTAAGTGCAGAGATGCGAGCAATTTCACTCTAGCAGAAATACAATTGTACTGAAAGCACAAGACTTTTATGGGGTCTGTGATTTTAACCACCGTCTACTGACGGCACGCAGTGAATGTCAGCACAGCGGTATAACCTGCATGAGATACAAATAAAGGTTGTAAACTTTTTACGTTTACATTACGTTTCAATTTTGCATTCTCATTAGCGAAACAGACGTACAACGTGGGCTACTTACACGATTTTTCTATTTGTTTCTCACGGCGGTGAAGATCTTGAGAGTTAAACTCATGGAGGCAGTAGCTTCGTCTGAAAGTTTATCTACCAGAGTATTCAAGTCCACACAGCGTTTCTACCCAAGAGACCAAGACCCACAACACTTCCCACCAACGGTTGAACCGCAATTCTTCACTGCCACTAAGGCGTTCAATAACTGGCCTTCGGAAATCATGGAGTTTATTTTACATATCAAAGAATAAATTATTGAAGTCAGACGTTCGACTACAGTGCTTTCCTCCATACACATCTTAAGGGATACATTTCTTATTAAATTGTGGAATGCATTTGTATGTTGGAAATGCTTTATTCAACTTAATAATTGATTGCAGGCAGCAGACCTGATGATAGCTCAGCTGATGAACCTTCCCCGCCTTTTATGGAACAAAATTAATTATCACAGGGTACAGAACAGCCAGTCCACAAGCTGACATTGTATTTCGTCAAGTTCCATTTTAATAGTCGCCCTGTTACATTTTAATTATGTATAATATCGAAAGGAATAAGAATCCAGATATTCATGAATAAATATACAAAGCAGTTTCAAAACATCTCGTTTCAGAGTCACATTTCTCTTAAGCTTGGATGATAGGCTTTGTATGCTCTAGGTTTAAATTACCCCGCCTCACGTCAAGTTAATATCGCCGTCTACAGTATATGTAATTGAAAACCTGATTAAAGGTTTACAGCCTATGTCTATCCATCCAAGCCAAAGTATTGTGTTACGAATACTGTATAACATGCAGCATACTGTATCATACAAGTTATGTTGCCACAAGCCATGCCATTTCTCAAATTACAAGTGGCATGGATGCCCAAGTATTTGTTTGCAAGTCTCAGAGAAGTAACAGTTGTTACGATGATCTCACTTCGTGACCCGGCAAAGGCAGGAGAAGAGCAGTGTTCTGCAGCCTGCAACCAACTTAGTCACATCAAAGCACAGCAATAACAACTCACTGGAAAATTTCATCAAATACGTGTTAATTCAATGTATTTGGAAATGTTTTTAGTGAAGTACCTCGCTCCCCCACACGCCTATATCTCATGTATATTCACCAGTAGCGATCACAATATATTTAGTCAGTCAAAATTGTTAAAACTATTTAACGCCAGTCTGTTCTTACTGTGTAATTTAAACACAAGTTATCATGTTTTTCTCTCTCACTTCGATATACAGTACACACAGCTTGTGAAAACCTAACTTTATAGAGTACAGTTCTTTAGACACTGATAGTCATTCAGCTGGTGAGGACATTTCTTTCCTTGTATAGTTCCTGAAGAATTGTTACCATGTTCAAAGAGCCCGCCTCAACACCCATTCATTTTAATTCGTATTTGTATCACCTCCGGTGTCTGAAGTGATTTCCCTCACGCGTACGACACGTCTGGAACCTCTTATTTCCTTCGAGTTGATTGCCATAATCATGTTTGGCCCACAGCCTCAAACTGAAACTGGCGTACGAATTTTAATAAGCTTGTCAACTTTCTCTTGTTTCAAGTACATTATTCATTCACCTAAAAGCTTGTCTAACACAGCGTTTGTGAAGTGTTTAAGAATAGCATGATCACTAGGTAAATACAGGACATATTCCTCTAAATTATTTCTAATTATTGAAAATAAATTTTCACATAACAGAACTGCAACTTTAGTTCAGAACTATACCAGTACAGTCACTTTCTAACTTTCTACGTCTTCACATTTCGACATGGTACATAGTCCACGTGCCAAATCCACTCGATCTGCCAACATTTCCGGTATTATTTGCAAGATAATGGCTTTTTTCTGACGGGGCTCCAATGTTATACCTGGTTGTCGATGGATTAAAGAAAGATGTTCTGCAAGTTTCAGACGGACGGCAAAACAAATGTTTGAAAGTAATCCACTTTCTCCAAGTACATAACAATTTATATCTCATAATCATTATTATCTTCCCAAATATTGGGGATAGCTTGTACAAGACTGTATCAATTGATAGCAAGCTCAGTGTTTGTGCTCTGACGTTAATCGACGCAGAACTTAAAATAAGACAGCATTATGCATTTACACAAACAAACAGCCTATCCCTAAACAATTATTGTCGTCTGTAGCTCTGTGTAGTCTGCCCTTGCCATCAAAGGATTTTATTATAAGGGGACTGTAATATGTCTATTTCAGAGCACGTACATATTCGACAAACCATTGCAGTGAAGATGTAGCAATACGGCCAAGGCACTAATTTCCATCGTGAAATGCAAACACGTTCTTTGTCCTCCATTGTCCAGTTAGGCCCTGAGATTCTTGCAGCTGCGTCTACGAAAATGATCATGTAACCACTGTTCCTTTAAGTTGCAAGAGACGCATCACACATGCGAGACGTCGCGGCACTGAATGATATTGGTCGTATGATAAATAGTTTCATGGACAATGGACAAATCCTTCCACGCGCAGATTTCATCCTTTGAAATTTCATATAGCCTCTTCCAAATTTGTATGCAAGAGACGTTGTTAACTGGCGTAGTAAATGAACATTACAAAAAGTTACCGTTTCGTAATGCTACAGTGTCTCAACCTGCAATTTACGCCGATACACGGGAAATGGGGTGAATATCTGGAGATGAAAGAGAGGAAGTTATGAAAGTCTGGACAAAACTGCATAATGAAGAGATTCACAGTTCGAACGCTTCACAAAACACCGCATTTCCTAGATTTTAAGACACACTTTCAGATTTTAAAATTTCTTAAATCGGGGCGTCTAAGAACCGATACAGTGTCTTTTTCCTGAAAAATTATTAATAAATCAAGGATGCATATTATAATCGATGGCGTCTAAATTCGAGGAAATATGGTAATATTAGGTTGGTAAACACGCCCACTATGACACGGCCGGAACAT